GCCCCGTGCACCCACCTTCACGACCAGGCCGTGCACGGCCTGCGCCGGGCCCCGCGGGGACACGTGCTGCCGCACGGCTCTGCGCGAGCCCTGCACCGTCCACAGGATGAGCGCATAGGAGACGAGGATGAGGAGGCAGGGCAGGAGGTAGCAGAAGATGAAGAGCGCCAGGATGTAGAGCACGGCCTCCCGGCTGGCCGCGTTCCACGTGATGCAGCACGCGGTCCCGTAGGGCTCGGGCCCGTAGCTGCCCCACTCGGCCAGCGGCGCCGCGGCGAAGAGCAGCGCGTAGGCCCAGACACAGAGCAGCAGGACGCCGGCGTGCGACGGCGAGAACTTGTTCCCTGCAGGAGAGGGAGGACGGCGTGAGGGCGGCCTCCCCGCTCCTGCCACCGCCTCCTCACAGCCTCTGCCCTCAAAGCCAAGCTGCAAAGAGGCCTTTTTGCTCTCTGGCCCATGCACCATCAAATGCAAAATCCTCCAGCCACAAAAAGGCTGCCTATAAAGAGCTAAAACTTCTGGCATCCAGGGGAGCAAAGGTTTCTTTCAAACAAAGCAATTACCAGAGAGCCAAAACCACCTGGGGAAAAGCCCTTGGTATCTGGGCTGCTTTTGAAGAGCCAGCGTTGATTTTTATCTTTCCTTCCCTCTTCCTGGTGCTCTGCTGGGGACTGTGTGCAGGTACCTGAGAGGCCTCTGTTCCTTGCGGACGAAGCAGCAGCAGCAGTGGAGTCTGCTGCGCTCTGAGCACACGTCCATCTGCAGAGGGGCCTTCAAAGCCCTGTGATCTGCCTTGTCCTGCTTGAATCATCATCTAATACAGCAGCTGGGACTTCTCTACAGAGGAAAACAACCCCTTTGACACTATTCTGGGGGTGGTTTCTGAACCCCAGAGCAAAGCTATAGAGCCCTGCCTGTATCCCAGGCTCCTTGAACAGAGCTGGGTCTCCATACGCTCTAGCAGGCGGAGGGGGAGGATCATGCAAGTGACGGGAGGCTCCGAATCTGCTGCCCACTGTGTTAACCAGGAATAGGTGCCCAGGGGCAAAGCTCTCCCAGAAGAGGCCTGAGGAGGAGGAGGAGGAAGGGTTACGTGAACAGAGGGGCCTGAGCGCAGGTCGGGTAACGGGGCCCAGCACCTACCGTACGCTGGGTAACAGACCTTCAGGCAGCAAACCGTGCTGAGCACCGCCAGGCTGGAGAGGCTGCAGAGGCCGAAGAGCACCCCGCAGAACGCGTAGGCCGTGCACAGCGCGTGGTCGAAGAGCCACCTGCAGAGCAAGGGCCCCGGTGAAGCACCGCGATCCCCGCGCCCGGGGCGGGCGCCGGCAGCCCCAGGGCTCTGCGGGGACAGGGCTGCCGCCCGGCCCGCGCGGGGAGCAGGCTGCTCTGCACCCGACTGTGCTCCCCGGTTATTCCCCGAGCATCGCAGCAGCGGACACGGATGGAGCCCCTGGGAGCAGGAGCAGCCCCGATCCATGCAGTGCCTGCACTGAGACCCGGCATCCTGCCCACCGGGGCAACCCACCCGAAGCAGCTGATTCACATGGAACTTGCAGACTGATTTTCCAGCTGCAAGGAAGCCCCAGCTGCGGTTGGTACTTCTGGCCTGTTGCTCATCTGCAAAGCTCTTTAACAGGGATGGTAGCAGAGATGGTAGCTAAACTACCCTTAAAGATGGAGCACAGAGGAAGGAAATGACTTTCCCAAAGTCTGACAGGGAGGTGGGACTTCTAGTTGTTTGGTTTCATGCTGCCTCCCTCGACACGATGTGCCAAGACACTGAACACAACAGCAAGGGCTTGTGCTCCCCATCTCTAGACCATCTCCAGGGCCATCACCCAGCACAAGATACAACCACCTCTCCACGGGATACCTGTGTGCAAAGAAGGACGACGTGGCCAGGGGGAACAGGGTCACTGTCATGCTCAGGTCGCTGACGGCCAGGTTCACGATGAAGAATTCAGCAGGCTTCAGCATGGACCTCCTCCGATACGCGACCAGCAGGAGCAGCGAGTTCCCGGAGAGCGACACGAGGCCTGCGGAAGGGCAGCGGGAAGCAGTGCCCGTGGGCAGGAGCGCAGCCCCCCGCGCCCCTGCCGGGCCTGGCCATGAGCTGAGACCCCGCTGGAGGAACGGGGTGGCGGGAGGGCACCCCGATTCCCATGGGAACAAGCGTTCCCTCCCCATCCGCTCAGGGACTAGGGCTTGCTGCAGAGCTGGGACGCGGTCTCGCAGGAGAGCTGGCACACGCACGGCTAGGGCTGTTCCTGGGCACCCTCAAGCATGAAGAGGCATCTCCTGGGGCATCTGTAAACGCGAGCATCATGCATGGTCGATAAAGCTCCTCTCTGCTATAACGTGGTGCCTTTTCAACAGGCTGGGGACACCTGGCAGGAAAGCGAGCAGAAAGACAGACCTGGGGCTCTGCTGGCTGCCCGGGGAGGTGGCTTTGCCTGCTAGCCCAGGCTCCCGGTGACACTCCTGGCGATGGACACGCACAGACCACAAGGCACTTTCCTCAGGGCACCCTAATTCCTTTCCCCAGTCACTGCTTGCCTTGTCACACAGTCACGAGGTGCCCAACAACCAGCGCCAGGGCTGGAGCCAGGACCTCCTCGAGCTGTCCCGGGAGCAAACCCCAGAGCTGCTGTGAGTATGGAAAGAGGCTCCAGATTTTGGCATTGCAGAGTTTGCCAAAAGGCACCCCTGGGACCTACGCAGACATCTAAGTGCATCCGGGGCTGCTCTAAATTGGACATGATCCTTTCCTCTCCCTGAGGAGATCCTACAGAGACATTTGGAAAGGTTGTGATGGGATGAAGCTGAAAAATCCTCCAGGTGCAGATCCAGCCAGACCCTTCCAGCTGGAGGGGGTAAGGGGGCCACTTCCTTCCAGCTAGATAAATAACAGGAGCTCTGTGTCATCGTCCCTCTGATGTGAGGCCAGGGAGCTGAGCCTGTCCACGATTTAATTTCTTCCTGGCAATGTCACTAGTGTGAGTCTGTGTTGTCCAGTATCACAGCAAAAAAAATAAACAAGAAGAAAGGCATAATGAAGATCAAGGAAAATCCAGACTAAACAAAGGAAGGCTCTTTGTTTGCTATTAATGTATTTTAAAAAACACTGTTGATTAAAATTTTATAACAAGAGCTTGCTTTCCTTTTTTAATGCAACTGAACTTTCATTGAAAAGAGGTTTCTCTGTCCTCAGAAGAAGAATCTTTGATGTTGATGGGACAGGTTAGGTAGAACTAGAGTGTCTTCCTAACGTATTAGGTTACGAATTAAAAATTGTGGCAGCAATTAGATTCCAAAGCTGCTGAATAGGCAAGTTCCTTTCATAAACGCAGGACCCGGCCCACTGCATGGCTTCAGAGTTGCTGGAGGGCAGAGATCTGAGATGTTCGACCTCATTTCCAGCCTCATGAGAAATTCTCCCACAGAGCTGGTCTGCTTGCTGGTTCACATCTGTATGACATATGTTTTAATAGCTTGATCATCCCCTAGCAGCTGTAGGTGCCTCCAGGACACTGTGAGTGCCAGGAGATGCGGGGCCTCTCGGGGCAGCGCTCGCCTCGGGCTCCTCGCGTGCCCGGCGGCCTCGGGGCGCTCACACGTGCAATGAGCTGTGCACCAGCTCTGCTGCCCGTCCGTGCCAGCCCACGGGCTCCTCTGCAGGGCTGCAGCTGCACGGGGAGATGGTCTGCCCTGGGGTTACACACTGAGCACTGCAAAACCACAGCAGGACACGCTTCCCGGCCCTGGCACCCAGAGACAAGGAGTCCTTTGGGTCCTTTCTTTTCCCTGCTAGTCTGGACTGAAAGAATCTCCTGGCATTTGGGACACAATTGCCTGGAGCTTAGAAGGCTTCTCCCTGCCCATCATTTACTTCTGGCCCACATGGACAGGGGTTAGGCCTTCTTAGGCCACTTCCTAAGTCCTCTATTTTGCCTGCTGTCTTTCAGATGCCGAAAACTTCAAATCACAGGACAGTCACCAGCATCTTCTGCTGAATGTAAGGGCCAGTGGGACTTTCAAATCATCTTCAGTAGTCATGAAACTGGCAATGCCAACGGAGAGTCCCAGTCTGTCCCACATCAGCTGGCTGCTATGGGGGTTACAGCAGAGTCACCAAAAGCTGTTCTTCACCATTCCAGATTTTAAAAATAGGAATGGCCCTTGCAGTCCCTGTGAGAAGGGGAATGTAGTCACCAACTTTGGCAAGGCGACACTTTCTGGTAATGCAGGGAGGGCTAACATGGGAAAGGCCAGTGTGGTTAGTCTGCTAACACTACACACGTGTGTGGAAGCACCAGTGACAGCAAAAGGCTTCTGCCAGGGAGGCTCTCTTTTCTTACCAAAGACTAAATAGAGCGTGCCAAAAATCAGGTCTTCTCTCTCTGATAAGGTGGAGACGAACACTGAGGCGTCGGACGCATTTCCCATCTGCAAAGCAAGGTACAAATACAAGCAAGAGTGAATTTGGGCCACGTGAGGAGCCCTGGGCTTCCCAGGAAGGCCTGTGCGGAGCCAGCGGCGCCTGTCACCACAGCACGGTGTTTAATTAATGCTGAGTGTAGCACTGAAATGACTGTCCGTGCAGGGGGCTGGTAACAGGATCAGGCTGGTAATCTCACTTGATTACTGCTTCTTTCATTACAGATTATACTGATTAGCAGCAGCCTTTGGATGTAAATTTCTTTTGCAAGTCTTGGCCATATGCTGAGTGCAGCAGGCCCTGCGTGCTCGGCCGTGGGACCGGCTGCTCGGGGCTGAAGGCTCCATTTTCAGCAGTGCCCACTGCCCTCGCACACCTCAGCCTCCTTCCTGCACTGGCAGGTGCTGAAGGACACCAAGACATCCTGGAAGGGTTTGATCTGTCACACAGGTAGTACAGAAACAGTGAAAACCTCTTGATGAGCTAGCTATGAATTGGACTGTATGGACATGGGGAGCGTGGGGACAGTCACATCAGCAGATTTTACCCAAGCAGTCCCTGTGATGTGGCCGAGGTTGTTCAGGACTCAGTGAATTATCTCTGCTGTGAGACACGACCTGCATGTGCGAGAGGAGCCGTGCAGACAAGAGGACTTAAATCAAGCTGAGACCCCCGAGACCCCACAGCTGGGGAGGGAAAGGAACCGTCACTGCTTCTGGCTGGCACCTTTTTCCTTTGACTGTAACTAATTCTGATCCATGTGCTGGCAGGGCAGGCAGCAAAGAACTCGAGAGTGATCATGAATATAACAACAACAAAAAAAAGTAAAAAGTCATTCCTTTTCTTGGGGTGTCTGGGTGCTGGCAGGGCAGGCAGCAAAGAACTTGAGAGTGATCATGAATATAACAACAAAAAGAAGGAAAAAGTCATTCCTTTTCTTGGGGTGCCTGACTAAATCATTGAGTTTTATCAGCCTAATTAGTTTCACTGCTATTTCATGCAGCTGAGCCCAAGGTTCTCAAGTGCTTAGGAAGTTAATAGAGGGTAGTAGAGCAGAACGGCAGGTGCCTGCCAGTATATTCACTGATAACAAATAAATGGAAAAATATTTTGTTCAGGTGAAGAAAAAAGGAGAGGGGGCAAGCGAAAATAATGGTGTAATTATATCTTTCAGGAGCTGCTTCCTCACTTCCCAGGGTGTTTAGTGCATGCATCACTCCTGCTGCTTTCAGTGAGGTCCCTACCTGCACACTATGGGAATAAAGATAATACTCCCTGCACGGCTCCCCCCACATGCCCTTTAACAGCAGGGGACAATGACACAGCTGAGAAACTTGTCCCTTCATTTGGGATTGCTGCCCAGTGCTTGTATGGGAACACCTTGTTTGGAGGAGAAGGGCTAGGAATGAGAAGTGTCACTGCGTCCAAGTCTGCCAGGATGACAGTGGCAGTAAATGAGGAAGAAGGGGACAATATGCAAAGAGTAGAGCAGATCCAGACGTGCATTAACCCCATGGAGGCTTCAAGTACGAATTCCACAGCTCCTTGCTTGGGCTGCACCTCTACTACAGGGCACAACTGCGTCACTAGCTGAATTTTAACTGCTCTGTTTCCACCCGCTCCTACCTAATGCGCTGGCAGCCCTGGGGATGGAGCGTTTCCTTCCGTGAGCACCGCTGGCACTGGATTGCACAAGCAGAGCAACGACAAATTGTCACCTGTACCCCGGCAAAAATGCCCACCTCATCCGAAGCTGCATTCAGACAGATGGAGCTAATTACTTCAAGTAAGAAGTAAATTATCTTCGAGTGTAAAAGGATTTTAAAGCACTAATCGGCACTAAATTGCCAAGAGATCCTGCCAATAGCTCTTCATCCTCTGTGTTACTGGCCCAAGCAGCCAAACACCGACGGACGGGGGTTTCCCAGCCTGCTTCATGGCTTTCTTGGGTTAGCCTGGCACACAGGCAACAGAGGATTTACAGCTCATGTACGTTCACTGAGCACAAGCAATTGGGACTATGTCTAGTATCTGATGCCAAGCAATCAAATGGTTTTATGATTAGATTATTCCCATTGGACTGGTGCCCGACACCATGAGTTTGACAGAGCTCTTGGTAGGCCAGGTAGGTAGATGCTGGTTAATTTAGTTAATGAGTGCTGCAATGCTCTTTCACATTCTCATTTCACTGTGCTGAACTTCTGGCCTCCCCTTATGGTTCCTCCTGCTCTAGTGAAGAGCAAAGGTGGAGAGCTGGTCCACCAAGCTGTCCAGGACCACGTCCTGCGGATGGAGACGTTACACGTTGAAGGCAGAAGGCTCAACAGCAAGCCAGATTTTGGTGCTGTCTCTACAGCTGACACAGCCAAAGCCTTTGGGCTGCTGGCAAACGCCCACATCCTTGAGATGCCTTTTGCCCGGGTTACTAGCTAGGCAGCCTGATGAAATTTTGATCTCAAACTAAGCTCCATTTACACCATCCTACTAAATCAAAAAGGCTCTAAGGGACATGTAAATTTTCCTCCTTTCACCAATGATTTATTGCTTTTTCTTAATGTGAAAGACATACTGCACTATCTCGAATCGGCCCATCCTCCTGCCCGGGGCTGGAGTCTGTCTGTAGGACCACACAGTCATCACCAAGACAAACAAACAGGCACAGCCAGATGATGCAACCACTTCTGTCGGGGTTTTCCAGCACAAAAGAGCTTCTTGGCCACAACCTTTCACATCAGTAAAGTGACCACCACGGCTGATTATCTTAGGGATTTTTCCAGCCTTGTTATGCAAAATGAGGCACCCGTTTAACAGCAGGGTCTGCTTCACAGAGAACTGAAACTCCAGCTATTTACAGCCAGGGCAGAAGATGCTGCTAGCCCTCAGGATTTGATATGGAAGCACATATGAGAAAAGGTGTTAATCGGTGTAATTCTCCAGTATAAAGCAACATCACATACATCATTATGACCATCACTAGCAAAATAACTGGGACTTGTATCCCATTAGGATCTAAGGCTTAGACAGAAGTACACAAGTGGACCTGAATTGATGGAAAATTGCTCAAACTGTTAAAAATACACTAAAAACAAATGCTCTTAGCAATCTTCCCCCTAAAAATCTCTCCTTAATAACCATTCCATTCTTTCTTCATTCATTCTTTCATCCTTTCTCATTCCTGCAATGCCAGTTTGTTTCTGAACTTTCATTCTTAAGAACCAAGGCCTTTTACACCGAGATTATCAGAAAAGTTTTCTCATATTTCTCCATCACAAGGAAGGAAAAAGAGTGTGAGCTTAATTTCCTCCTTTTTGAGGCCACTGTCTGCACGGTTTCTGGAGGAAAGGCCAAAACATAGATGGATTGAGAATACAGAGCCTACTGAGAAAGGAAGAGAAATGAGAGGGAGTCGGTCACACAGCTGCACTGGGGACAAGCAGACAAGACAAGGTCCAGTGTAAACAGCCTGGAATTAACTGTTCCTGCTCCTCAGAGTGAATGCATGCGCAGCAAAGGAGGAGAGAACTGGCAAGCCCTGCAGGACTGTATTTCCCTCAGATCCCTGGCGGGTCTCCATCCTGCAATACATCAGGGCAGCTACAAGTGTCCTGTGAAATCAAGCTGGCAAAGAATAACGGCAATCTGGAGGAGAGGAACTTGAATTTCTGATATATCACTTGGTGGAGGCCTTAGTTTTATGGTTGGGCGATTTGTAAAACACACATCTCTCATTGTAATGGAGAAAATGATAAAAATGCATCTCTCTCACTGACAGATATGGTGATGTCACTGACACACGGGCTATAAATCAGTTTTACAGAAATATGAGGAGCTACCATTTTTATGTCTGAAAGCAAACCGTAAAGTACATCTTGTAAACTTACCTTAGCTGGACACAGTCTGCATGGGCAAGTGAAACTAGAATCAGTTCAAAAACCATTGCAAAAATATCAAAGACTTTCCTGTGTTGTTCTGGGGCTCATAAAGCCCTTCCTCTGCAGATAGCTTAGAAGGTGGTGCACTTATGTGAGCTCCAGGATCTGGAGGGTGCTGGACCTTTCCACACAGGGCCTCAGGTTATGTGTGTGGGTCTTGACCCTTGATGTGTGGTCTCTGTTGGAGAAGACAGTGTATCACTGACTACTTTGTAGAAGCCCTCACAGGGGTACAAACCTGTTCCTGTTCCCCTTGTCTGCTGGACCCCAGCACAAAGGGCCCCTGTCTCTGTGAGATGCTCCCTCGGGTGAGTGTGCTGGTGATGGGGAGCCTGCACATCCCTTCATCGGCACTGTGAAGGGCAGTGGAGAGACTTACAAGCTGCAGAACCATCCGTGCAGACATCAAACACCTTCACTGGCGTTCCTCACCAGAATGGCTGGTAGAGTTTTGTTGCATCTCAAAAACTTTCAGGAAACTTGACCATATTCAATCAAGACTAAGTGCTCTTTACCTCCTCTGGGAGGGAGTTCAGAGGAGAACGTCTCACCAGCAGAACGCAGCCCTTTGGGATCAAACTGCTTGGCCACGTAGTCTTTGGGCATATATAGCTGCTGCTGAATTTGATTTAAGCTCCATTGCTCAGGCTCTGTTCTGAGAAGAGACAGACTGTGAAAGCTCCTTTCCCCTCAATTTAATCAGGCTTCAAAATGAGATGAAGTTTCCCAAGCAGCGGCTGCCAGAGGAACACTACCAGGAACTCTCAGATTCTGCACCTCAGAGCCTTTGCTTGTGATCACAGCAAGAATCAAACCTGAACTTACATTTGGAACAGAGGGAGCCGCATCCGCTCTCCGTGTCTGGCATCTGTGCATGTGGGAGGAGGCTGACACAGATGGACCGGCCTGATCAGATACCCAGCTATTGTCTACCTGAACCAGCTTGCATTTTATCGCATGTGGTTGTTGGGTTTTGCCCTTTTCCTCTAAAGATTCAGGCAGTCGCTTTTCTCCAGCCAACGTGCTACGAGCCCAGAGTCTGTCTTGGAGAGGGAGCGGAAATCTGATGAGCCTGG